AAATGTCATATATCTCATACTGACATTCACATAAATATGAAAAGTAAATGTCATATTTCTTATCGACATTCACATAAATGTCAAAAAATAAATGTCGTAATAATCTTACCAACATTTACATATATGTTGCAAAGTAAATGATGCAAATTCTTTTCAACATTTACCTAAATGTCATCTATCCGACAATTACCTAAATGTCGGAACAATTATCGACACTAAAATTTACGACATTTGATCCAAATGTAAAATAAATGTCGATAAACAAATTTGTGACATTTAACCATCATAATACGACATTTAAAAAATGACGTTGTATCTCCACTTTCTTGTAGTGAATGGGGTGAGAGAGGCGGCACTGGTCAGTGGAGAAGAGAACAAGGTGGGTAAGGGTGCGAGGTCGTGGCTGCGAAGAGGTTTCTCGGCCAGATCTAGAGGTGCGGTAGCTTAGGTTATTGGTTTTATGAAGATTAGAGGAGGAAATGAAATGGTGATGGTGCGGAGGATATGCAGACATGTGTGTGTGAGAGAGAGTATATGTAATTTCGCCAGCAAAGGTGGCAACGACGAAGACGATGACTTCTCTGGTAGATGTTGGTTGTGAATAATGAAAATAGGGAGAATAAGATGTATGAAGTTTTAGTTTAAGACTAAATTAAAATCTTATTATTTTACCTTTTCTTAAATAATTTTGATTAATAATGTTAAAACATAGTCGTAAAATAATTATAACATGGCACTAATATATATGAAGTGGATATGACATGTCATTTATGTAAAGGAGAATGAGCTACACATGATTGGAAGGGATTAAAAGTCTCATATTACTTGAGTCTTAAGGATTCAGTTTACAAATGACTAAGTAAAAGGGTATAAAATACAAACTGTTATAAATATAAGGGTCCATCAGACCATAAGTTACAAATTTCGCCTAGTTACTTGATTTTTCCATTATTTTACATTGTTGAAATTGAGAAGCTCAATAATGAATCGACAATAATTTATCTTATTTTAATTATATCCAATATAAATATTTAATTTAATTATGGACATATTCAAAATTCAATTGGATAGACTTATACTATAATTAACCCTCCAATCGGCAAAATCTAAAAATCTTTGGTTATTTCTTAAATTATTCCTCTCTTTACCAAAAAAAACAAATCTCATGCATGTCCTCTTCATACTTCTCAACAAAGAAAAACTCTAGCCCTAGGCACGACGCTTAGCCCCGATCATCCTCAAATTCACTTTCTCCTAGCCCCGATTATCCTCAAATTCACTTTCTCCTCTGTAGCCTTGGAAAGGAGAAATTTAAAGTGGGTTGGATATATAAGCTTTAACCATCGATTTCACCGCCAACAACCTCGCCCCTTAATTATCCAATGAATTCAAATCCCTCCCCTTTTCAACAGGTTTCCCTCAAAAAATCAACCTAATTTGCCCTTCCCTTCTCTTAACCGATTTGACATACATTCTGGATCCTCAAACGACACACACCAAAAATAATATACCTGAATCAATGGGATTATTGTGTAATCTTTTAGGAGATTTTTTTTTCAATTTTTTGAAAGAAAAAGATCTTCACCTTCAGATGAGAGAGAATCTGGAGTGGTGAAAATTGAAGAACTATTCAAAGAGAGAATTCAATGAGAAAAAAAAATTTAACTTTAAAATATTTTGAAAATTGGAGATGGGACGTGTGTACCTTAAATAGTGGCCTTAATATGAGTTAAATTAGGAACTAACTTAGGATACCATTGATTTTGATATATAAATAAAATATTTTCTTTACAATATTTTTTAACAATAATAATTTTCAATAATTAAGTTACCATTTTTGCGTAGTTACTTGATTTTCCAATTATTTTATCTTGTTTAAATCAAGAATCTTAATAATTAATCGATAGTAATTTATTTTATTTCAATTATATTCATAATAACAAATTAGTATAAGTATTGACATTCGAAATTAAATTGGCTAGACTTATAATGATTTATCTGATTTCAATTATAGCCAGAATAGACAATTTCTTTAATTATGTACACATTCAAAATTCATTTGGCTAGACTTGTATAATTAACCCTTCAATCAGCTAAATTTAAAAATATTTGATTATTTCTTAAATTACTCTTCTCTTTACCCAAAAAAAAAACTCACGCCGGTCCTCTTCGTCTCTCTCAACAGAGAACAACCCTAGCCCTAGGCGCGATGCCTACCCTGATTACCCTCATGTTCCCTTTCCCTCTTGTATGGATTCCAAAGTTGTCAATAGCTTTGTTGCTTTAATTTGCTCTTGGAAAGGAAAAAATTGAAGATGGTTGGGTATTAGCTTTTACCATTGTTGACACCCAATTTTGGCCCTCCACAATATAAATTTATCATCGAGTTTCTTCAATTTCGAATGATTTAAAATAATAAGCTTTATAAAATTTAAATCTTTTTCGAAATTGTTTCAGGTAATTTTAGTCGATTTTTTTATAGTTTTCTAAACGATCAGTATAATTTATGAATATTTGAAAACAATCTCAAAAAGATTTTGTTTTAATTAAATATTTGGTTAATTAGTTTAATTATATAATAGTTTACATTTTGAATTATCTAAATCATAATTAGTTTAATTATTTTATTTCTTTGGCATTAAGAATCTCATTAATTAATTTATATTAATCCGTCTTATTTAATTTTTAGCCGAATAACCAATTAAACTCTATTTGGCTAACTTGTTAATTTTCATAGGCCATTATTGCAATTCATATGGCTATTTCCTAATTTGTAAAATCTATCAAAATTTTGAGCCCATTCTAGCCACGAAACGGTGCAAATTCCCATATCCAACGGCCCACCTCAATTCCATTAGCCAATCTATCCTTTTTCCAATTTCCAGTCAACATCCTCAATCCACTATTGATTCTTCTAAAACCATCTCTAACCCACCTCTATTATACTCTCCATTCTCTATATTTGGAGGGTAAAAGAGAATGTCCTCTCCAACTCCTCTCCATATTACTTTCTGTACTCCATTTATAGAGAGGGGAATAGTAGTTCTCTAAATTTGGAGAACTACTATTCACTCTTTATTTCACTTTTTGAATATTTTATTACTTCCTCCGTTTCAAAAAGAATGACATTTTTTCTTTTTTAGTCTGTTTCACAAAGAATGACCTTTTTCTTTTTTTGGTAACAACTTTTAACGTTGCTTGTTTAAGGCCACAAGATCAAAGGACAATTTTGTACATTTGACCTAACATTAATTTAGAATCACAAGATTCAGAAGTCTTCTTTATACTCATAAACTCCGTGTCAAGTCAACTAAGTCATTTTTTGTGAAGGAGGGAATATTTTTTCGCGTAATGCATAATTGTGCCCTTTAACTTGGATTCAAATCACATTTACGCCCATTTAACTTTGGGTGTGCACAAGTAGACACTTAAACTTATATAAAGTTGAACAAATAAATACATGTGTCCTACATGTCATCTTGCATATCATTTTTTGTCTTATGTGGTGTCCTACGTGTATTATGTCATGTAGGACTCATGTTTTTATTTAATTAGAAGTTGGATAGTTAGTGTCTGTTTGTACATTATGAAAGTTGGAGGTCAAAATTAAAATTTGAAGTCAAGCTTAGGGTTCAATATATGTATTATGCCATATTATTTCCATTACTTTTCAGTTAACATATTATTTTACATATAATTTCATCAATTAAATGTCTAATATTCATGATTCTTTTTAAATATAATATACTATTTAAAAAAATATATATTATCTAATATATACTACTTTAATTTCAATTAATGTATTTTTAATAATTTTCACCTATAATAAAATATTGTTTTATTATTAATTTTCCTTATAAAGAATACATAAAACTAAAATTGTAAGATGAAAAAATTATTTTAAATACAAATAGCAATATAATACATAAGTAATAATTTAAATACAAGATAAATTCAATAATTAACATAATAATTAATTCGGGATGAAAAAAGAATCATGTCGAAAAGATGTAGAACGTGCATTCGGAGTTTTGCAATTATTACAAGACCGTCACGTTTTTGGAGAAAGAAAATGCTACATGATATAACAACTACATGTATTGTACTACACAACGTGATAATCGAGGACGTGATCTTAATGTACCAATTCAAGATGCCGTAGAGGCTCCAACTGCAACGACAGAAATGGTGGTAGATGAAAATCTTCGATTTGAACAATTTTTCTCTAGATATAATAAAATTAAGAACAAAAATGCTCATTTTGAACTCCATAATGCATTAATAGAGCATTTATGGGAGGAGCGTAATAATTTAAAATTTGAGTGTTTATGTAATCATATTTTACTTTATTTGAATTTTGTTCATTAATTTATATATCATATAATATTTTTCGTGCAATTTATGATATTTAGAAATTTAAAATATAATAGGGATAATGCACATGTGCCCCCTCAACCTATTCCCGAAATCTCAGAGACACTTATACTATACTAAGATCCTATTACCCCCTAAATTTATTTTATCAATAATTTTCTACCTCTCTTCGGCGTAGGTGACACTATCTTGTGGGCTTAATACTGATTGACTTTGTTTTCAAGCTAGTGTCACGTAGGCTAAAAAGGGGTAGAAAATTACTTATAAAATAAGTTCAGGGGTAATATGACCTTAATATAGTATAAGTGTGTCTCTAGAATTTTGGGCATAGGTTGACGGGGTACTTGTACATTTCCCCAATAAAATATAATTTATATTAAATAAAAGTTTGAAAAAATAATTTTTTATCGCATGAGAATTATATGAAGTAATTATTGGGAAAAATAATGATTTATATGAAATAAGAAAATAAGAATGAAATAGAAATAATAATATAATATTAAGAAGAGAAAAAATATTATTTTTAGAGAGTAAAATAGAGAATTAAATTAAAATTGGTTGTTAGAAAAAATCGAGAACTCTATATTTGAAAAGAGTAAAATAGAGTATAGGGCTGGAAATACCCAAATCCAATTTCAGTCGGCTCTAATTCACGATTCAGCCCAGATGCGAGCGACCCGACGAGTTCACAAAAAAGGAAGTACAATATGTTCTTTGTATCCTTCCCCAAACGTTCCTCTCAGACCGGTACAGTCGCAGCAGTAGCAAGCCACGCGATTCCATCCTTTGGCTCGAGATTGAGCCAAGTAGCTCCGCCAAGGACATGGAATCGATCCAGCCGTTTGTTCCCCCTTCCTCTTTCGGAATGGGGTGAAAACTTCAGAAAAGGTGTCTCCCTTAATTTATGAAAGAATTTATCTGTTTTGTCTTTGTTTTTTGGGGTTGGAGATAGCTTACATAAAACTGAGAGATAGAAAGGTTTTTTTTGGGGTTGGAGATAGCTTACATAAAACTGAGAGATAGAAAGGTTTTTTCTTTTACTGATAGGCAGAGAACAGAGAAGGGGTTGGTCTCTATTTTCTTTAGATTTTACAACATATAAATAACAAACAGAGAGTAACATACTTGGGAGGGGAAGCTCTGAGTTCCTGTCGTCTTTTCAAAAGCTCTCATCGAAGATCCTTCATTGGAATCCATTAATCGTTGTGGAATCGTTTCCAGCAGCTAGAGTTCAAGTTCGCTGCCGGATAAAGGTAACGTTTCCTCCATAATCTTCTCCTCATCCTCTTCTACTTGTGATGTGCCTCGCTACTCTATTGTTGTGTCACTGTTATTTGTGGATGAGAATTGGTGACTTCAAATTGTTATATATGTGTTCATAATAGATTTCCTTGATTCGATCTTAATGTGGAAGTTGGGTTTTGTCGTTTTGTGTTTAGTGTTGTCGCTTCTTTCTTCCTTTGTTTGAATCCATTTTCAGTTCTTCCTCTTCTTGTATGCTTGATTGAATGTCGTAGAATCTCGGTTCTTCTGTTTTCATTGTCTTTAACCCCGATTTTACATCTTGTTTTGCTACTGTTTATGTTGTCTTCTTTCCACCATAAGAATACAATTTCCAAGCTAATTAGTATGGAAGTTGTATGTTACACTATTGATTATTTGTTTGATTCAGCAACTTATTTTATCTATTTGTAAAAATCATGGAATCAATGTTACTTAACTTTGGAAACCTTGTGCTGTTAGGTGTGGCTGCCATATAGTTTCAATTCCAAATCTGTTGCGCCCTTTCTGTCTCTGTGTTAAAGATTGCTCTATTTTTGTTGTTATGGTTCTTTTGTTTAAGCTTGATTGTAGTTAATCTTTATCTGGGGAGTTTTCTGAAGCATGATAGTGTATATTGATCTTTTCTTTATTTGTCGCTTATGATCTCCCTTGTCTCCCCTTCCTTTACCATGCCACTTCTCGGTTTGAATATTAATCCATGCCTTGTTAATCTTCTATTCAGCCATGTTTGACTCTAGGTTTCAAATTATGTGCTCGAAATCAGTAGTATTAGTTAGTATATTTGTATTGAAAGGTCCTGCTCTTTGAAATAACTTTGATGGAATCTTGAGGTCATAGGAATTTACTCAATCTTAAGGTTTGCATAAGTTGTTTGTTAAGTAATCTAGATACTTGGTTTCTTTGGTTGGCCTAAATTTCTCTGTATGCCTTTTCATAATTTGTCAATTATCCAATTTGCTAACTGCTTAGATTTTAACTTTAATTAGTATAAATGTTTAGTTGCTAGTACTGTCAGCTTCTCTGTGAGTAATGATTTGCCAAGCAAATTGAAATTGTTTCACATCATGGTCTAAATCATGCATTAAGTTATCATGGTCTTTTTATAATGTTTGATACTCGAAGCAATAGTATATGGTTCCTTTTACTTGATGTGTTTTTGCGTGAAGGCAATGATTTGTTACTTATGTATTTTTGTTCATTTATGTCGCATGTAAACGTCATTGGAGTCCATTGGATTCTGATTTCCTTAGCATTTCGGGTTGTTTGAAACCCACATCCTTTACTCGAGTCGGCCTTCATCTTGGTTTGAGCTTTGGAAGCTGAAACAAAAGTATTAAAAAAAGGTTGATGTACAGGTTTTCAGAGCATATTTGTGGGATCGTATGCACTAGTATACACCTAGTGTATACGAAGTGAAGAAGTGGGCCAAAGAAGCCCCCAAATTCCATAAAATGTATTTTATAATTGTTGGACGTAAGCCCATTTATCTTAATATTACCTTGTTAGTTATTAGGACAGGTACAAATTGGCTAAAAGCCCCAAAAGCTAAAAATAGGCCTAAGTACTGACTTAGGCGGACAGATCCAGACTTGGGCCCAAACTTCTCTCTTTACTGATTTATTTGTTATTAGTTTTTATTTAATTTTAAGATTTCAAAACTTCCAACTCCCCAAAAGATAACCATTTTGAATTAAAAATTTAAAATTAAATAAATTGATTTTGTTACTTTCACTTAGTCAAGCATGTTTATCTTTTAAAACATTAGTCAAATAATTAATTGTCGGATAATCGCATGTTAGTGGATGTTCTAGGTGCTTTAAAACCCTTCCTAGAATATTAATATAAACCCTGAACCCCTTAAAGTTTTCAATGATTTATTGTTTGATCTTTTCAATGATTTTCTTGATTTTTCTTAAAAAGTTATTGGCGACTCTAAAACCAGTATTTTTTCAATTAAACCGTCGATTTCATTGCCAACAACCTCGCCCCTTATTTCTCCAATGAATTTAAATCGCTCCCTCTTTCAATAGTTTCCTTCCAAAAATTGACCTAATTTGCTAGCCCCTTCTCTTCACCGATTTGGGACACATTCAAGATCCTCTAAGGACACATACCAAAAATAATGTACTTGAATCAGTGGGATTGTTGTGTAAATCTTTTGGGAGATTTTTCCTCAATCTTCAAATGAAAAAAAATCTTCACCTTCTGGTGAAAGAGAAACGGATATTGTGAAAATTGAAAAACTATTGAAAGAGGGAATTGAATGACATGTTAAAATTTAGTTTCGAAATATTTTGAAAATTGTAGAGAGAATGTGTGTGCCTTAAATAGCAGCCTTGATATGAGTTAAATTAGGAACTCTACCATTAATTTTGATATACAAATAAAATATTGCTCTTACTTTACAATATTTTTCAAACGTAGTTATTTTCAATAAGTTGCAAATTTTGCGATAATTTTCAAGTTCTATTATCTTGTTTAAATTAAGAAATTCAATAATTAATCAATAATTATTTCAGTTAAGACTGAAATCAACAAATAATTTAATCATGGACGTATTTAAAATTCAATTGGTTAGACTTAAAATATAATTGACCCTCCAATTGGCTAAATTTGAAATTCTTTGATTATTTCTTTCATGGAAAAGGGGTAAAAATTACCCTTAAATTATTTGAAATAGCTTAAATATACCCGTTAACTATATTTCGGCTCAAAATTTCACTTTCCGTCAAACTATTGGGCCACCACTATACCATTTTAGGTCTACGGCAACACTAAATCTTGACAACGCTTATAAAGTGTTGCCTAAAATACTTTTGGGAACACTTTTAAAGTGTAGCCAATGATTTTGACTTTTAGCTACATTAATTTTAGCAACACTTCTAAAGTGTACTCTTTAATGGGATAAACTACACTTTATAAGTGTTGTTATAGTTGGCAACAACTATTTACATGAATGGTCACACTTTTAAAGTGTGTTATTTTTATAATTGAAAATACAACACATTAAAAATGTGGCCTTAGTGTTTTCATCAAAATTTTATATTCCCTCCAACATTTTAACATTAAAATTTCATCTCCCTCCCATTTTTATTTGGCAAAAAAAAAACATTAAAGAAAAATTAAAAAGAATAAAACATTAAAGAAATAAAAAAAGGCCACATTTCCTAAAACTTCAGCTGAAGCTTCCATTTTCAGCTGAAGAACCCGTCATCTCTGGTGGCTTCATCTTCATCATCGGTGGTCGTTCGGAGATCTCGATCTACTCGGAGTAAATTTTTTCAGTCCGCGTGTCTCGGATCTCGCGATTCTGAAAATGAAGCAGCACAGGTTTGTTTTGTATGTTTTTTGTTGCATTCTTCAGCTTTGATCGAAGCAGTTTGAGTTCTTCATCTTTTAGAAATTACTTGTTCTATTTTGTTGATCACCATTGCTTTATTTAAAATTGTTTGATGAATGATTCTTGACATTCATGTTGAAAAGTCGGTTAAGGTTTTCAACATTGAGTTATTGAACCAGTAAGGCCACAAATATTCTTTATTTGTAAATCTACATTTTCAGGACATAAAGCTTCAATAACTTCCTACTTTCATTTGTACAGAAGTAGAGCCAGGACTCAACTGCCAGTTGCTGCAGCGCTCATCGCAGCAGTAGGTTAGTGATAACGTTTTTGATTCATAAACTTGTACTTCAGCTAATTCAATCGTTTTGGCCATAAGTATAGATAGTAACTCTATTTGCTGGAAATCTGTCAAAATGCGGCTGGGTCGACGGACCTTGCGACGGGACGTCGTCGTCACAACGAGTCGTCATGGACCTCGCGACGGTCCGTCGTGGTCATGACGGGCCGTCGTGGTCATGACGAGCCGTCGTAGTCATCCGTCGTGGTCATGATGGGCCGTCGGACTCCGTCATCCCATACTTGCAAGTTTCTTCTGCTACTTCTCTGATATTCATGACGAACATGCAGGACGGACCGTCATGGCTACGACGGTCCGTCACACTTTCCGTTACAGCTGAAATTTCAAATTGATTAATTGTTAAATTTCTTAATTTTGTGTTCTTTCTTGATGGAACAGATTTGTTTACTAGAGGAATTGATATTCAAGCAGTTAACGTTGTTATCAATTTTGATTTTCCTAAGAACTCAGAAACGTATTTGCACAGGGTATGTATAACAGATCTTTGATCTTGCTTATTGACTTATATATTGTTTTTGCTATTTCGTCATCATTGGTAATTTATTGTTAGTGGCTTTGGTTTGAATTGAGCTAAGGTTTTGTTTCTCTTGACCACTATTCATCTTGCTTGTTTGGTATGGTTGAAGTGTAGTTTTGCTATGTCAGATTTAGTTTCCTTGTTTGATCGTGTGGAACATATTAACTACACAAGGAAACTAATGTAATTTTCTTTAATTTTTGCGGCTGCTGTAATCTACAATCTGGACTTGTCTCTCTATTTTCTTTCTTATTATATAGAATATCTATGTTATAACCAAAACTTTTGACATCCTAGTAGAAGATATGCTTCCATAACTACAAACAAATAAACAAATAATTATTAGGAGAATCTAATTGTTTGTGTCTCCTCATTAATTCCTTTTTTCTTTAGTGTTCGTGTTAGTTTGCGTGCATCATGGTTATTGTATAACACCAAATATTTTATATTGTTTCTTATGAAGTTTGAACCCTAATGTAATTATTTATTGTTGTTGAACTCATTTGAAATTCTAGACACCTAAGGGAAGATCATCTACTTTGAACATCAAAAGACAAGTAGGCATCTACTTTGAACATCAAAAGATGCAATCTAATTTTCTGTAACTGTTGGATTTCTTGCCTCTCTATATTGTTGCAATCTGAACTTCTTACCTCTTCTATATAACTGCCAATATCTTATTTGTGTAGGGAAATGGAGGTGATCAAATTTGAAGTGGATGATGAAGAGTTTTTGAACTATTGTAAAAGTTTAAATACATTTTTGATTTATTGTGTACACATTTAGAATATTGATGTATAAGAATGGGTATGTACACAACACATACTATCTTTTGGTTGTACATAAAATATTTCTCGAAGTTTATTTGAAATATATAGCTTCAATTTAATGATTAATTAGTTCATTTTGTGTTTTAGGTCACTTGTATGTATGTAAATATATTATAAATATTTGTGCTACATATAGGCTTATAAATGTTGAAGTTACACTTTGTAAGTGTTGCTCTAGGTAGATAAAAAGTTACACTTTGAAAGTGTTGCAATAGATGACCAATAAAAGGCAACACTTTTTAAGTGTGACCAATAAATCTGAAAAGGCAACGCTTGTAAGTGTAGTCTAACAAAAAATAGGTGTTGCTAATGCACGTCCCTTATACCTATTTGGCTACGCTTTATAAGTGTAGCCAAAGATGGCAACATTTAAAAAGTGTTGCCTAATGTCAAAGGTTACGCTTGTTTTGGGCAGCCCCTAAAAAGTGTTGTTGAATGTCCAAAAGTGTAGCCTTTTATCAAAGGCCACACTTTTTGCTAGTTTAGGCTACACTTACGTGTTGTTGTTGTAGGTCGAAAATGGTGTAGTGCACACATATCCTTCTGGTTAATGAAAGTATCCATGTGTGTGTTAAGTGCCACGTGGATGCCACATGGATGCCACATGTGCACGCCAAGCATACCCCACCTCCACATATATGACTTAAATATCTAATTTCAATCTTTCCCTCCATTTCAATTATTCGGTTTTTGATTTTTTTATTAGTGCTCACCGAATATCATACCAAACAACTTCAGTTTTGTTGAATATTCTGCGAATAATATACACCATGAAATCGAATCAGTTCATCCATGATCAGTGAAAAATGAAACCATCTAAAGCCCGATCATTAATGCAACGCTATCATGGCCAAACAAAAACTTATTGATGTTATATGAAACTACTCCCAAAATCTATGACTATTAGCTAAACATTTGAACATTTCCCAATATTGAATGAAAGCCTTAACTCTAAATTTCATTTTTTCTATTAGATCTTCATAATGTGCGCTTCTTCAATTCCATTTGTGTATTTTCTTTTTAGGTGGGTGAGCGATCAAATCTCCTAACAATCTACGCTTGATCGTTGAGTTTTGTTGCTTTGAAGACAGGCAGGTGAGTTTGCCCCTAACTATTTATGCTTTGCATGAATTTGAAATGAATTGATTTTTTACTAATTTAGAATTATAGTACAAAACTGGGTTTAATGAGAAAAAATATGAAAGAGGAAACCGATAATCTTTTTAGTAGTTTATAGATTGTATAAATACTTGTTTAAGGAATCAGGAGCTCAGAAACGGAAGGAGGAATGTTGGAGTGCGATACCAAAAGTATTGTTTCTAAGGGAAAGGATGAAATGAGGGGGAAAACAGTGAAGTTAGGGATTTAATTCGTCTATGTGGCAGTGGGGTGTGTTTGGCGTGCACATGTGACGTCCATGTGACATTTAACACACACATGGATATTTTCGTTAACTGGAAGGATAGGTGTGGCCCAATAGTTTGACGAAAAGAGTATATTTTAGTCAAAATATAATTTAAGGGTACATTTAAGCTATTTTGAGATAGTTGAAGAATAGGTTTTCCCCTTTTTCATTTCTTAAATAACTCGCCACTTTACAAAAAAAAAATCACGTCCGTCCCTTTGATCTCTCTCAACAGAGAGTAATCCAATCCCTAGGTGTGATGCCTACCCCAATCACCATCATATTCTCTTTCTTCTATTTTGGCTTTCAAAGTTGTCAAAAGCTTCATTAGCGTAGTCTTGAAATGGAGAAATTTGAAGTTGGTGGTATATGAGCTTTGTCCATCCAATTTTACTATTAACAACCTTGTCGTTCATTTCTACAAGAATTTAAATTCCTCCCTCTTTCAACAAGTTTCCCCCAAAAGACTTACATAATTTGCATGTGCCTTCTCTTCGTATAATTGGAACACATCCCATGGATACCAAGAATATTATATTTGAATCAATGGGATTGTTAGAATATATCTTTCAAGAGATATTTTTCCATTTTTTGAAAGAAAAAAAAATTGTCACCTTCTGATGAGTGAGAAGTGGGAGTGATGAAAATTGAAGAACTATTGAAAGAGGGAATTGAATGAGAGTGAAAATTTTTTGTTTTAAAATATCTTGAAATTCGAGTATGTGCCTTAAATAGTGACCTTAATATGAGTTAATCTTTCTTCACAATATGTTTAAAACTATAAATATTTTAAGTAAGTAAGTTATAAATTTTTCCTAGTTACATAATTTTCAAATTATTTTATCTTGTTCAAATTAAGAAGCTCAATAATTAATCAATAATAACTTATCTTATTTAAGTTATGGTCAAAATCAACAATTAATTTAATTATGGATATATTCGAAATTCAATTGGTAATTATAATATAATTAACCCTTCAGTCGGTTAAATTTGAAAATCGTTGATTATTTCTTCAAGGGAAAAGAGTCAAAAATCCCTTAAACTATGTGAAATGAATAAAAATGTCCTCCATTTATAGTTTGGCTAGCTAAAAAATGTCATTGTCGGTAATACTTTGGTTCAAAAATGTCCTTAGAGTAAATATTTTGATTCAGAAATGCTCCTATAATTACTAAATGGGTTAAAAATGTCTTTTTTAAAATAAATATTAGAAATAGTTTTTTGAATTAAAGTAGGATAAACATTTGTTTATTTTCTAAAAAATTATTAGAAAAAGAATATGTTAAAAATAAATAAATAATATATTTATTTTAAAAATGAACATTTTTGATTCATTAAATAACAATAAGGATATGGTTTGGACCAAACTATACAAAGATGTAGTTTCAGGACATTTTTCCCTTTCTTAAATTACTTTTTATTTAGAAAAAACTATGTCCATCCCCTTTATAGAGTTGTTAAAATGGGATGACCTAACCCAATTCAATCATTAACTGGATAGAGAGTTAAATGGATTGACACAGTATAAAATCTAAATTAAATTTTATCTCTACTTTTATCTATTTTACAAAATCCCTTAAAAAATTAGTCATCCGGATACATAATTGATTGTCAGGATACATTAATTATGATACATGATATATATGGTTATTACCCTTAAAAAGGGGAAACATAATAAAAAATCAAATTAAAATCCCATAATTTATGATATTCAGTTCCTTTTTACTTACCAATCAGAGAAATGTATATCCTAAAATAACAAATCAATTCAAAATTCAAAATCCATGTTCATCTTTGTCTCTATTTCAACGAAGAAATTCTCGGGTAAGATTCAAACTTTTTTATTGAAAATTTGGTAAGATACATAATGAATATTTTGATTTTTGACTGACACTCTCAAAGAAAGAAAAAATCGAACACCATAGCTTTTGCGTTCTTCGAATTCTACACAAATCTCACTATCGATGATCAGGTATTATGTATAATGGAGGGGGGGGGGGGGGGAGGACTATGTTGAGGGTAGATGAGGACGAGGTCTTGAGAAGAGCCCGTTGAATTACTTTTTGAAGATGGCTACTGTTGATGTCTCAAGTCACTACAGGATTGTTGAAGGTTCAACTTGTTTCTCATGTTATAGTTATAGCATAGTCCAACCAACATTATATCCATCGCTGAGGTACAAAAGAATTTGAGGCCTAAATTTGTAAATCATAATTCTAACTCTGGCACCACTTATATTATAATATACCAATGATATATATCTATTTTGGAAATGGTGATCATTTTTTAGTTATATGTTTCTGCTCTAATTCTTGTTTGTTGTGCAATTGTATGAAGTCTAGTTAGCTAATTAGCAGCGTGAAGATCAGATGGCTTCTATATTATTTGTACAGACATGACTTATTCATTCTTTTTCAACTTTCTTGGTATCTTTATTTTTGTGTTGGCAGTTGCTTTCATTATGTAGTGGCAGATCTCAAATATGAAGGCAATTGAAAGTTGTTATTTTATAATTAACTTGGGCAAAAATAGTTATTTTTATTTTCCATAACTTTAATTTTCGAATTAAATATCTGATAATAATAAGTATGCAACACATATTCTTGTGATTTGATCATTATGTTACATTCATGAATTTGTATATTGGATAGGTCATGATAACTCTTCAACCAAAAAATGGATAGTATTTTCCTCTTAGAAAGAATATAAACGTTTACAAATTACACATACTTTAGTGAATATTTACAAAACAAATACATAATAGGCACGATTCAAGATTCATAAGTTTCATCCGAGCAAAAACATTCATGATCACTATTTTCATAAACATGACGATAAAAGAGAAGTGAAAAAATAAGCATATAAAAAAAAGTAAAAGAGGTCAAGATGTATAGTTATAATGGAGTAACGGACTTGGGCTAATATGAAAATTTAGTGGGCTAAGGACCCGAAAATGTAAACTATATATAAAAAATATAGTCTTAATTTTATATTGATATTTTAAAAGTATTTATTGACAAAGTAAAACATTACTTTAATACATATATATATATATATATATACATATATATATACATATATATATATATATATATATATACATATATATACATATATATACATATATATATATATATATATATATATA